GATTAGAATCTGTCAAGATTTTCGGAAACTCAATGCTGCTACCAAGAAGGACTATTTTCCTCTACCTTTTACGGACAGTATATTGGATGCCGTAGCAAGACACGAATGTTATTCATTTTTGGATGGTTTTTCGGGTTACAATCAAGTCAAAATTGCCAAGGAAGATCAGTCCAAGACTACTTTTACGACAGATTGGGATACATTTGTATACAAAGTGATGCCATTTGGATTATGCAATGCACCAGCCACATTTCAAAGAGTGATGACACAGGCCTTTCAAGATTATTTATGAGTATCAGTAGAAATATTCTTAGATGATTTTTACACGTTCAATACGACAGCCGATCATTTGAACTGCCTGAGATGATGTCTGGACCAATGCGATAAGTACGGTATATCGTTGAATTCAGAGAAGTGTCAATTTGGGGTCCCCTCTAGAAGACTCTTAGGCCACATAGTATCCAGCCGCGGTATTGCTACGGACCCAGATAAAGTAACTCGAATATTGGCTTTATCAAAGCTAAAAACGGTGTCAGAAGTACGTGACTTTGTGGGCCATGTCAGCTATTATCGGCGTTTTATTCACTCCTTTGCAGTACTATGTCAGCCATTGACAAATTTGCTAAAGAAACCATTATTGGATAGATCTAGTCCCGTTTGGACGGCAGAATGTAGTGTTGCCTTTAAGGCCTTGAAACAAAAATTGGTGTCTGCACCATTACTGGTTGCCCCATGCTGGACGAAACCATTTCAGGTTTATGTCGATGCATCCAACGTCGCGATTGGATCAATATTGAGTCAGAAAGATGACAATAACCATGATCATCCAATATATTTTGCGAGTCGACAATTGGTTATGGCCGAACCCAATTATAATACTACCAAGCAAGAAGCCCTTGGCATAATTTATTCTGTACAAAAATTCCACCATTATCTACTGGGCTACCCGTTTGTGTTCCACGTTGATCATGATGCACTTAAGTATATGATAAATAAATCCCAATTGAGTGGACGAATTGCTCGCTGGGTGTTACTTCTCCAAGAATTTAATTTTATAATTAATGTTCACCCTAGCAAGACACATGCCAATGCAGATCACTTGTCCCGTTTATCTAATATACTGGGTAATGAGCCGATAAATGACGCCCTTCCAGATGCACAATTATTCGCTGTGGAGGTTATTACACCCGAATATGGTGACCCGATCCAATATCTCACATTTCAGACTTTTTCAATTTCTTATAATGAAAAATTAAAGAAACGTCTGATTATAAGAAGTGCGCCGTATATCATGATTGGAGCCGCATTATACAAACAAGGACGGGATGGTATTTTACGACGTTGCATATTTCCAAGTGAAGTGTGTACCATATTAGAAGGATGTCATATTATGTTAAGAAGTTTCTTAAAGTTCTATACATGAGAAGTTACATAGGAAACATGTTTTTAAGAAGAGAAGTCCGTTTATAACAAGATAGTTAGAAATAATTCATTTTAATTTATGTGGTTCTTTACCTATTCTATCAAAGAAGAAAAACATATTTATTTTAACATGTATTAGTGATTACACTCAAAAGACTTGATTATATTTTTATAAGAGAAGTTGAAAATATTTGATAAGTTTAAAGAGATCAAAAAGTTAGTAAAAAATCCAAGCAAAAAAATAGAGTGTTTAAAAAAAAATTATAGGAGTGAATACCTATCCAGCAAATTTTAAAGCAACTACAAACAAGAAGAGATTAAGAGAGAACTTACTTCAAATTATTGTCTTAAACAAAATAATCTAGTAAAAATGAAAAATATGTATATTACACAAGGAATAACAAGTTTTTTTATCAAAACAAAAGTACCTAAATATCTATAGAAAAAAGCTACAAAAATTATGAATTATATTTAAAGCAGACCTTTGATAAAAAATTTAAGATGTTTAATTCCAAAAGAAGCATCTACTAGGTACAAACTTGACTTATCTCACTTACGAATTTTTGGTTGTATGGCAAAAAATTATTATTTCTAAAGATGTTATCTTTCACAAAGAAAAATTTGATCTAAAATTTATTATATCTTTAATTCTATTATTGGAAGAAAACTTTGATTTATTTATTAATAAAAATATATTATTCAAAAATATGGTAAAAAAATCTCTTAATCTACCTCCTACCAAAAAAAGAGTAATAGCACCAACAAAAAATGTACAAAAGAATGAATCTATGACAAAAAAATCATTTCAATACCTAGAGTAATAGATCAAAATTTTGTTAGTGGATATAATCTTGATCCTTCTCTTTAAATCACCCTTCTTGTTTGTAAATCAAAAAGATCTAAAAAAACAAACATCAAATTAGATGATTATCATGTTTATGGTTTTATTAAAGTTTACAACTTGTATCAATTAAATTGAGAATGTTTCAATGCTTAATATATAGACACAAAAGAAATTAATTTAAAAGGTGAAAATACCAACTTCATATAAGCTTATAATAATCCAAGCTAAAAAAAAGAAATGAAAGAATAAATAGACTCTATTATAAAAAAAAATGATACTTGGATATTAAAAGAATTATATAAAAGATAGTATTTCATATCATTAAAGTAAAAATTTAAATTAAAATCTAGAATTAACAACCAACCACGTAAAAAGAAGGCAAGGTTAATTATAAGAAGATTTAAACAAATTAGAGGAATAGATTTCACTGAGACTTTTAATCTAATTATTAAATAATATATAATTAGAATTACTATATCTTTAATAACTATTAATAATTAGATTATATATCAAATAGATGTAAAAATGACCTTTCTAAATGATATTTTTAAAGATGAATTTTTTATGACTCAATTAGATAGTTTCATCTTATCCAAAAAAAAGACCAATGTACAAATTCAAAAAAATTATCTATAGGTATGAGGATAAATTTTACTCCTTCAACCCAAGTTATAAGATGGTCTCAATTAAGATTTTTTTTTTAATTAGTGGTATGAAGTAAAAGAATTAATTAGTAAGAAAAAAAGAAGAATAAACACAAAAAAATGAAATAAATAAAATCAAGCAATTACACAATCCAAAACTTGGTCACAATCTGTTTATTGAATTTTCATCCAGTAAAAAATAAAATAATAAAAATAAATAATATATTATTAAAAATATAATTTTTTATCTTTCCAATGGTATTAGAAACTTGTAAATCGGAGTTACTATGAATAATTTATGAAGGTTTTAAAATAACAAGTAAATAAATAAAAATTTAAGTGAAAATATTTTATCTCAAGAGTGACTTATTTATAAATCAAAGATTTGAGCATCACCAAGACTCACATATAGTGTATATGGATGTCTAAAAGATTCCACACGGCCTTAGTCTTATCCTTCTAATTACATTCAAGGTACTGCAATCTATATGGAACTTAAGTACTTCTCTACTTACAAGGACTACACTAGTTGTTGATCCTCTTATTTTCTATTAGTAGAATCAATATTTTTGTATTTTTGACTTCATCATGATATTCAAAAATATCCTATTAGCCTAAAAACCTTGTGTGGCCTTCAAATCTTCTTCCATTTCTTCATAATAGCTTCCCAAGTAGTAAAACTTATTTGTACCAAAGTCTTAAAAATTATTCTAAAAATTCTTAATAAATTCTAAAACAATTATATAAAAAAATTTAATATTTCTATAATTCTAATAGAAATTTAATAGTATATTTTTTTTTACCTTGGTGATTTTTTATAGTAATAAAGTTAATATAAATCAACTGTAAATCTTATTTTTTATATCAATAACTAAAAAGAGATGAAGTTCTTTTTCATACATCTTCTGACTATTAACTAACATTTATAATTTTGTATAAATAATACATATAGATAGAATTTCAATATAGATATTGAATTTTATAATTAATCCTTAATACTCAATAATAAATAAAGATATTAAATCAACTAAGATAATTACTTCCAAGACTTATTAAGACTCTATTTTTACAACTAATATTTTAATTCTCTATTTATCTAAGAATTTCTAAACTACTTATCATATATTATAATTTTTCCATTCTAAATGCATCATTTTGTCCTAAAACAATAAGTGAGTTAGTTTCATGATTTACAACAGTCTAAAATAATCACCCACAATTTAATATGAAAAGATAGATAGTGTATTAAGAAACATGCATATATCAAGAAGTAATTTTGATGTAAAAATATGTTAGATACATCATTATACTTAGGTAATATATTGAAAATCTATTTGTTATTAGAAGTAACATCAAGCTTATTATATGGTTAAAATATTACCTCCAAAATATGTTTATGATTGACCTTAGAATTATTGAATAATATTTAAAAGTTGATTTTGATAGAACATCAAGCTTTTAGAAACAATGCATAAGAAGTTAACTAACTATATGAATTACTCATTGAATTAAAATGTTGCAATAGAAGTATTATCTGAATTTCTTGTGAAAAAAAAAAAAAAAAAAAAAAAAAAAAAACTTCCAAATTGGATGACTAAACTACAAAGAACATTAAAATGTATTGTGATAACCAATGAACAATAAAATTTGCTGAGAATCCAATATTCCATGCTCAAATAAAATACATTGCAATTTATTATCATTTTATTTGTGAAAGAGTGCTTTAAGATGAAATTAAACTATATTATATCAATACTAATATACAACCTAAGGTTTTATTTACTAAATCATTGAATTGAATTAAGTTTGAGCTCTAATGTCAAGTTCTTATAATACAAAGATTATTTTCATTAAATGTTTACAAATACACATTTGCTTTAAATTGTGATACTTTTTTATTTTGGCTTTACTTATCTTATTTTCTATTTTTCTTAACATTTTTATTATTATTAAAATGATTACTTATATTATGAATAAAAAAAAGGTAAAAAGTTTTTAAAAAAAAAAAAAAAAAAAAAATGTAGAGAAATCTCACATATTTGCTCAATTTTTCATTTTAGACATTTTATGTTTTCTACAACAAAAACCACTTACTCCGAACAGATAATCTTCTTAAATACTAATCTGGTATGTATACAGGTATACCAATCAGAGTACTGGTTGGAAAAGAAAAGAAAAAACATACCTTCCTAAGTCTGTCCAGCAGCAGATTGCTCTTCACCAACTTCACTACGGCTTTCCCGCATGATCACTACCTCTCTTTGCTAAGCTTAGTGATCATGCAGGAAAAAGCTTCACCGTCACTTTTCTGCATGATCACTGCCATTGTTGTCACCAACCTAATTAACTCCCAAACCTCTCTAACATCTTCCATCCCTTGGCTAGCATGTTGCGCGCCATCCTCTGCAGCGTGTACTTCTTGCACTTGGCAGACTTGTACTTCATCAAGTTGCCCAACTTCTCCGTCACCAACCACTCGTTCACGTTCCCAATGTCGAACAACCCGATTGTTGTCGCCTTTGTCCGGTGCAAGGACATCACGTTCTCCAAAATACCAACAAGTGCAGAGACTTGGGGGTGGTGATCGCGTTCAGCAGCGTGATGATCGACGGCACGAACACCGCTCCCCAAAATCGCAGGTCCCCCTCCGGCACCAACACTGATGGTACCAATACCTTTGGCACCGTCACTGCGGCATAGTCGATGTTGAATCTCATGTCCTCGGAGCTCATCATCAACTTCTCATGCGCTACAAACTCCTTGCTGAACTGATTGCAAAAGGTAGTCTGTCCATCAAGGCTATCTTGCTTCCATCAGCCACTTTGGCATTGCAGAAAAATGGAAAACGAAGCTCTACGGCTCTTACATCAAGACAGGGCTGGAAAACAGAGATTGCCGCCATCAACTCTTGAGCAGATCCGCAGCTGGCACCGCAACATCACGGCATGATTAACAACGTGACAACATCACTGTAGCATTACTACATGAGCAAGAAAAAGAGAAGGAAACTAGTCATGCAACAACAGCATTGCATCTAACAAGCAAAATGAAGTCTAACAACACAAGGCACAGACTAGGTGAACCTTTTGGAAGCTCAACCTGATTAGATCTCCTTTTGCACCAACTCTTAGTCCTCTTAGTTCACTAATTAACTAGTCAAAGACAACTTGATCATATACTGTACAGTAGCAGCAGATAATCTCCAACCTTGACAGACCAGAACAAAGCTCATTTCTTGGACTGTGTTGGATTGTGCTGCGGCAGTTGTAAAAAGTTTGAAAGTACTTCACCACTTAATAGTACTCCACTGCTACTAGACTACATTTGCTTCTTCTCTCCTTCCGACGCTAATTCTTCTGGAAGTATAACGTTTCAATCTGTCTACTGCACCGGAAGGTGGTAATTAACTGGATTTGGTATAGAAACCGCATTGTTGGACAATCAAGCAACGCTCTACATTTACTCATCTTCCGACGTAATCAACCCCTACATATTTATTTTGCGGAGCGGAACTAAAGGAGTGATCACTTGCCGGACATTTCGTGAAACTAGAATCCAGTACTATGTTGATAGAAATTCCCCTCCTCGCAGCATCATTATGAATGACATCACCTTGCAATGCATTCAACACCAATTTTGCTCATCGCTCAAAGTCTCCTACGATCCTTGCACATCGGGACCCCTCTGTTTCGCCTTTTCTCCGTCCTATTCTTCCCATCTGGCCCGTGACTTGAAACTGCAGCACCTTCGTCTTCTCCCTTGTTCCCATTCGATTCCGCATCCGTGCTCTTGACGTCGTAGTTGCAAATCCTCCGGTCTGAATACCTCCAGCTATGGGTGTGGATTCCGAATAATTGTTTGCACAGGGATTAGAGACTGTTTTGGCTCATTTAGCGGACAAATAAATTGAGGATGGTTTGGAGAGCTCCGTCGTTGGTTTCCATGGAGACCTCGTAACTTCCACCTCCGTGGTCCTCGCAATGTCCCACCCGATCATCAGGAACGTGGCTGACGCTTCGACCACACCCTGCTCTCCATCGGCGTGACATCAAAAGACCTTGAAGGCCTAGCATTCCTCAGAAGGTTGTAGGTTCGGAAAATTGTAGCCTCCGATGATGACTGTTATCCTATACGATCTTATCCCGTCTAGATGGCTGCATTGAAGGACATCCGTGGGCCGTTACACAAATTAATAAAAAGATTCCGGCAAAAGACTGGTGGTGGACCGACGCCTGGGGGTGTAAAAGAGCAGAAGTTCGTTATATCAGTCCCAAATAAAGGAAGTTTATTGCAGCGATCGGCCGCAATGTGAAGTGCTTTTAGCATCATGCAAAGCCTCTGTAGGAAGAATTTCATGCGGTAGATCTTGAGGTTGGAAGCGCAAGGATCTTCGTCACGGTTGCATCCTTCATACTTTGTAAAGCAAGTTTAGAGGTCCATACCACACAAAATCTCCGTAGTGTGAGGAAGACTTCGCTTTATTGCCTCCTCGAAAAACTAGATTAGTTTTCACAAACATGAAAGCTTCCCAGTGCCCCCACATCCTTATCTCCTTTTACGTAGACTGAATTTATCCATCCCATTACCCACATTTCTATCCCCAGACACGTCATCTAAATGGAAATTGGTACTACAACAGGATGATTTGAGTCACCCATAATAAGATGCTTTGTAGACTGGATTCTTCTGCAATCTCTGTGAATGATCTTGGAGGCGCTGTGGGACCTCATTGTACTACTACATCGATGAAAGATTCTCACTTCCAAGTGCATGGAAACTAGATGCCTTCACGTAAGCTTGGACATGGATCCTCGAATTATGGGGAATATGAACGAAGCTGACCCGCATCTTAGACTAATCAAATTGCTCGTGGATTGAGGGGTATAAAAATCAAAGATTTAAAAGTATATATATAGAGAATCATTGGTGGAACTGAGCCTCCCATCCAGCCCCATAGTCTGCTGTGTAGAGGAAGTTGGAGCTATGGAAATCCATCTGTGCAATACATGTGAATTGGAGTTTTCATATAATACCTGGAGGTAGCATGGGATAGCGTGGTGCTGAGGCGGCAGGAAATACCTTTTGGAGGGTGCTAAAAATATGGTTCGCATGGTACCCCATGCTAAAGTAAATACTCAGAAATGTGTTTGCAGCCTACTTGGAGAGCCACTTTTCATGGCGACAGATACATGTGAGAAAGTATTACTGCTGACTTGGATAGTTCTCATATGATAATTCTCGCAGAGTTGAAAAGATTTGCGTTTTCTTTTTTAGATTAAGAAAACAAATGACTTACCATCGAAAGCTTTTAAAATTGGCACTCCTTTGATAAAAAGTTGGTCCCTCTGGTCAACTGTAACTACAGGGCGTACGCTCAGCATCTCAAAAAATGTGTCAAAAGCGCATGCGCGAACTGGTTTCTTCACGAAAATTCAGGAATCATTATCAAAATTTGAGACAGTTGGAGTGTGATAGTCCAGAAGGAACCTTTAGATATCTGAGAGAGAATCAAATTATAGTTCAACGAAGAGTATGATGGCAATGGATTTTCATTTAATCATAGAGCATCAAATATTCACATCTGGGTACGAAGCTTTTAGCAGACTCATCACTACTGAAGCCCAAAGGGATATTCATTCTCCCGTATTCAGATGGTACTTCTGCACTGTTGCCGAAAGGCCCGAGTACTTTTCACTTTTAGCCCTTAGTCTGACTTTCATGATCACTACGAAAAAAGCCCTACAGTACTTTAGTGATACCACCTCTCGAGACGAGCGCTGCAGCTGCTGTGGAAGCAGTAGGGACAATACCAGCAGGAACTCCAGGCTTAGAAAGATGGACAAGTCTGCATTTAACGAAAAGCACGATTAGATGCAGCTTCATAATTCAAACGGAGATTTTGATAAAACCTAGACATCAAAATCCAGCTAATAGCTAACAAGGAATAGTCCCATTACTGCGGACACAATCCACAAAAAGGAATGATATTCAAGTGCTAAGGGGTGTGCAACTTACGGGGCCAAGTACTCTGCCAACCCTGAAATGGCACCAACAACTTCAGAATAGTTATCAGGAGACGCAGGAGCTGAAACCTGCACCATTTGCAGACCAGGAGTAACCGGCTGTGGGTCATCCACCGCATGTATCTTGGGTAACCTGTGTACCGCTGTCACAGAGATGGTAATAGTAACAGCAATGGGGACAGTCTTGTGCAACTGAAAGGAGAAGCCTGTTCGAAGCATTTCGTAATCCAGCTTGTAGCCAAGAGAATACATGAAGCGGAGTGAATTGTTGCTTATTCCAGCTTCCAGCACAGGACGCACCAACGCTGGAAGTTGATCTGCTCCAGCTCCTCGCATTGCTCCACCCACATGGCGCACTGACCTGCCTCATACTCAGTGAACGTAAAGTAAGATAATATATCTTTTCCAGGAAAGAGTCAGCACACTAGGTACTACTCTAAGGCTTCTTCACCTACTTAGGAGGTCGGTGAAAAGCTTCAGAGATATTTGTCGAAGGTACTAAGTTTGCTCTTATCCAAGGTCCAATTTTTGTTACTGTTCAGCTTACGTTATCATATTTAAACAAAGGATTTATGGTCCCATTGTCTGTAGAGGTGAAGGAAAGTCGGTCAATGATTGTTGCGGTTGGGACACTGACGGAAAACTCTTCTTTTCGTTCAGAGAATCAGGCTGGTCCCAGTTGGCGAACCGAAAGCGAAGCTGCTTTTTTATAGACCAATTATACTTTAGAGAAGAACCATTTATCTTCTATAAGATCTCTGCGCATAAAAATGATGTGGTTGATACATCAAGGTCCTTACGAGCTGCGGTTCACTGCAACCCTAACAGTCAAACTCCAGAAGTCCTAAAAGCGAGACAGGTGGATGTCTAGCTATTCATTCAATACATGACAGTGAGAAGCTTTGCACGCCACATTAATATCGATCCACTACAATTGTTCAACCAGAACATGCGGAGACTTTAATATACCTAGTAGCTGGAATTTGCCTACTATCCAACTCTTAAAGATGATAGAAACTGCTAAAATTGCAATCCACTAAGTTCATTAGAAAGTTTAAACTGAACTGACTTACAGAAAAAAAAAAAAAAAAAAAAAAAAAAAAAAAGCAACAACAACCAGGGAAGTGCCCTTGAGTCAAAGGGCTGTGACATACCAGACAGGTTCGGGTTGAGATAATGAGCAGCAAAGGTGAACCTCAGAGGCCACCGCACCTGGATATGGCACAGGTAAGCCTTAGATCAAACGGTTCCATTACACACTTGCCAAGAGCTGCAAAATAATAATAATAATAATAATAATAATAAATTTTAAAATATCATTGCAAAAAGGCTCCAGGACGCACCTAAATTCGGCCCCGTCTTCAAACATATTTCGTGAACTTTAATTGTTTCTCGAAGTCCTCCGCAGAGCCCCTGCAATAAAACCTCCAACGCATCCACATGCTGGCGTCCGCACATTCACAAATAAAAAAACAGTTTCAATACGCGCCAAAGAGCTTCGAAAAGCGGTAAAAATTTGGTAAAGAAGATGGGTGAAACAATGTTTACCACCGCATCAAAAGTCTGTACTACCACAACATTAGTGGCTCTCAGCCGCAATGCAATATTTCTGCATAAGCACCTCCACCACTATAATGCCAGAAGAAAGTTCAGAGGAAATAAGAATTGCTAAAACTCAAGCTCAGTGATTGACTGAAAGCAGGATTTGCACAACACCGCTCTGATCCATTCGTGCACATTCTCGTGAGGCAGTGCGGTGCAGGTGCAGATGCAGGAACATGGCATTACAGCGATGAAGAGGAGAATTGAAACGTGCAGAAATGTAGAAAGCTACGCCACGGTGAACTTTAAAACAAACTTGAATGAAACATTCAAAAGTAGAGGATTACTCCAATGCCACGGCTCTGCATAAGAACCCGCACCATCGGGTAATAATGATCAAATGAACACCGAGTAATACACTCAGCTACATCCCACCTTCACAACAACAGACTACCACGAGCCGTAGAATTACAAAACTTTGGTGCAGGTGCAGATGCAGATACGTGGCATTGGAGTAGTTATGTAGAGGTAGTGTCCAATGAAACAAGTGTAAATCACTGCAGTATCTGAAGAGTGAACAGCACGAAATATGTCACACGACATAAAAGGATTATAAAACATAGAAAAACCAGAAAAAAAAAAAAAAAAAAAAAAAAAAAAAAAAAAAACGAAGGGGGACGACGACAACTGAGGCACGAAGTGAACGAGTGCAGGATAAAGCAAACTCCTACTACTGTGAACCTTCTCTACCTCATGAGTCCTTACTTGTGTTACTAAGTCCAACACTCCAAGCACGATGGACAAGGAAATTCGATACCCGGGTATACCACAGAAGGTACAGGAAATGCACAAAGACATATCCAGTCTTCGTGACATGGACTTGAAACGTGGTCAGTAATAGTCTTGCCACAGAAGCGGAGTTTTCATAGATCACATGCATAGCACAGTGCGTTTGCTGCGAATTCGTCTGTGAAATTTCCTTTCCACAAAAAAGGGATACAGTAACGATTGTTGTCAAAAATAAATAAATAAATAAAAATGTTAACCTGCTGTTACATGGACCATATCATCAAGCAGGAGAAGTGCAGATAAAATACAAATCAGTCAATGTAGGAGGCAGCACACACAGAAGTCCACCTAATCCAAGAACATCTTTAGAAGTTTCATTGCGAAATAACTTCCACAACCCAGAATTCTCCACGAGGGCGAGAAAAAGAGAAGACCTACAATGGTGAATTTCTCTGGGACAATACCCTGAACCCAATCGACAATTGGCAAGTGGCCAAGAATGTGAAACATTAGAAAGATGCAATTACTGGAGTCTATGATATGCTTCATGTAAAACTACAGGCTCCAGTAATTGTATGCCAATTGAAAAAAAATTAAAATCCAAAAAAACAAACAATTCGAAAGGACAATGTGCGACCAGATGACTCTTGATTGGAGCACAAACAGGAGAGAGGTCAAAAACTCGGGCAAAGAAGTTTCGATTAGGGAGGGGGAGTACTGAGGAACCGGGTAAGCGGGCACCCATACACCGATCAAGCATCAGCACACAATCTCAAGTCGAAGAGGGTGAACTAGATGAGATGGGCAGCAAGCTGTTGTGAGTGAAAGAAATAGCAGGTGAAGGCTGGTATATAAGCAGCACCGAAGACACTCTCCTGCATACCCTCTCAACAGCAGGGATCCGCAGAGGGGCTGGCCCACACCATAAGGTCAATAAAAACGACAAAATTTCTACCGCGTGCAATGTATCCACTCCACATCCATCGCAAGCTTCGGGACTACGAGCACAAGAGGAGGGCGAGGAGAAGGGGGAGGCGGAATCAGAAGACCGAAAACAGAGGGTAGAGGGGGTAGGGTGGTAGGGGGAGGTGAGGTGGGGGGGGTGGAAGGGAAGGGTGGCGATGAAACCTCTTTCACCGACCTTCGCTTCTAAGATGCCTTGCACTACGCACTCCATCTCTCCCCGGCAGAGATTTTTTGCTTTTCCGCGAGCTTGATGCCGTGTTCGCAAGCTAGATTACCGCCCCTGCAACGCTAGCATTGCTACTCCCCTGCGGCACAAAAGGATCCGTTCAATGAATCTTCCACTCGCCCCTCGTCTCTCGTCCTCTCTGCCGCTCGGCCTGCCAAACCTGGAAGACCTCCATTCCCCAACCTCGCAACACACCGTCCATCCCCACTACCGCTCCTGCCGCAGACGCACGGCTGGACCTGCCGTCATCGCCGTCGCCGTGGCCGTCGCCCCCTCCCCCGTCCAGGCTGGGCAGCAAGCTTGAGTTGGCTCCGTTGGTCTTTGAGGGAGGAACTGGGATATTATATAAAACCTGCCCACACATCACATGCTCTTGCTGCACCCGTGATTCTCCCCCCTTCACGTGCCTTCTCAATATCCCCACACACAGTGCCTCACGAAGGCCTCTTCCCACCACCATACTGCTTTCCACCACCTTTCATTTTGAATTTTCTCATGTCCTTTTTTCTGCTTTTCACTCTGAATGAGCTGCTGCTTTCTGCTTTCTAATGAAGGGAGGGAGGGGGGAGGGAGTGCGAGTGAGCGAGAAGAAAGGGGGGGGGGAGGGGGGTGTGTTGTGCCTACTTCATCGGCAAAGCCTTGAATCAGAAGGCTTGGCAGGGGAGACACATGTCTGAGTGGGATACCCAGAAGGCTATATCCTTCAGCATGTGCCCCTCCCTCTCTGCATGGGGAACGGTGCCCGTAGTGCCTCTCAATTGCGACCAAAGCAGCTGCATCAGAAAAACATCTCCACTGTTCAACAACAACCTGTGCATGCACTTCTTCTACACAGAGACTTTCTCTGAAAATCAGTTTTGGATGAAAGCTCCTTCTCCATGTGCTTTTTCCCACCCACTTGGATGAACTTTCATCCACTCCCTCCCTCCCTCACAAAGGCCGAAGAAGCAAGTGCCAAATCATTTAAGTTCATGTACCCATTCGGGAAGCGACGGGTACAAACAAACAAACAAACAAACACATAAACACACCCCCATGTGTTTTTTCTCACTCGTTTGCCAGCTCAGCACGTGTATGTGTGTGCGTGTGTCAATATATATATATATATATATATATACAGTCATTTAATCATTTGTCTATATATATCTCTCAGCCCATGTTTTCTCATGTCCCCAGTCATCCCGTGTACAAATTTCAGACAGACTCAGTCAACACAAGTCTTCTTCTCTTTTTGTCATTGTTTGTTTATCCTTTTTGTAGTTGTCATTATTCACAAAAAGGACTTTTCTTTAGTGAACCTGATCATTGGGTATACAGGATGTCAAATGGTTTGAGTAACAACAACAATACAACTTCCAGAATAATGACATCCACTGACCTCCAAAAGTCTTTTTTTAAAAGTATTTACGGATGGAAACATTTTGAAAAGGAAAAAAAATATCAACTGGGGTGCTGTAATCATCATGAAGCGCTCACTTCAGCACCCCAGTTGATATTTGTGAACATGCTTTCATAAATATATATAATCTTTTTTATACTTTTATATATGTTTTACCATTTTCTAAAATTTTATGACTTTGACGCTTGGAATTGCATTCAATAGTTGTAGGTGATACTTCCATACCACTATGTTTTAGAAAATTTTAAGATTGTTTATAATAAATGGTTCAAGTATCACAAATTAGAGAAATTTCTACAGACACGTGTTTTTATTGTGATCTTTTATCATTACAAAGATGGAATAATAAATATATATATATATATATATATATCAAGATTAAAATTAGTTTTATACCCAAAGCAACAAGAAGTTGTGAATATTTGTGGTCAGAAACATTTAATTATAATTCAACAAGGTTATGTAATTGGTTGCAAATTCTAAGATTACTATTTATGGTGATTTTTGAATTTGAATTAAGGTTTGTTCTTATAAGACGTTTGTATCATTTTCATAATTCAAATTACAAGCTCATAATTCTACATGTTTACTAGATGTTATATAATATAATGTTATATATTTTTTTTGTGATCTTGATCTTACTTTGGCTTAAATACACAATCAAGAATGTGGAAAAACTACTCAATATAAACAAAAGTAATATTAAAATAATCTTTCTTTCAAAGTTCATGATTGTTAGCATTATCTCTTTAATAATTTAGGGATAAATTTTTCTTAATTTTAATAAAATTAATAATGTGCCATTTTACTTTTCAGTTCAATGTCTTTTCTAACATGTTTTTAAATTTAAAAATAAAGAAAAATTAAAAATTAATATTTTTATCAAAATTAGAATTAATTTTAAACTATATTTCAGATACTTGCTGTAAAGATCAAATGTTTCGGTATAGTCCTAATTAAGTTAGTTAAAAAAAAACTAATATATAAGAATGTTTTATTCAAGGTTAAATGCAAGAATTCATGGTTATAAATAAAATTAATTCCAATTTTAGATGCTAATGTAAGAATATGTATCTATATATATATATATATATATATATACTTCATAATATAAGTTAAAAGCATAAAAGAGATTTTGTGTTTGATCTAGTAAAAATATTGTTATAATACATGTACTATGATTAATATCGTAATCAATAAATAATTTAGACATTCAAATTAATATTGATATCATTGTCTCAAATATAACTATTACATAATTAGTAAATATTTCAAGGATTTTAAATATTTTATATATATATAAATATATATATATATATATATATGTAAATAACATAGTGGATTAGATTGGTTGCATCCAATCTAATCCAAAGGACTCTCATTAAAAGAAAAAGTTTTTAAAGTATAGTAAATTATAAAAAAATATCATATGTTAAATATTTTATTTATTTTTAGATATTAAAATAGAATATATAAAAAAATCTTTATAATTTTTAGTTTAATTACTTTAAAATATATTTATATAGTATCACATAATTATTTTGTTAAATTAATGACATGGACACTCATAATTATTTAGATAAGAAGTAGTTGATAGAAAGTAAATATAGGTAGATTTAATAATATCTTATAAAAAAGTTTTATAGATACAAATTTGACTTTATATGAGCATGTAATTGATTCATAGGTTAGAAACTTGGCCAACCAAACCAATTATTATTTGACTTAGTCTTGTTTTGAAAATCTCTAGTCTTCTTGTCTTTTGCAATAGCCATTTTAGTCTTATTATTATACCACCTTTGAGTGATAATCTATTTTTTTTAGAGTGACACAAGGAATGTACGGATGTTTTGATTCTTAGTGATTTATATCTTTGACAATTAAAGTATTAAAATAATATATATATATATATATATATATATATATATATATTTTAAAAACAAGTTCGATTGTTTGATTTTTAGATCTAAACTTGACTATAACCTAAACTTGGCCAAAAAAAGAATAAAAAATAATACAAAAGCCTTTAGTATAATACTATTACTACCTACAACTAAAGTAATATAATATATATAGAACTAATGAATTCAATTTTATACTAGTTGTTGATTATACTATTTTTCTTATATATATATATATATATATATATATATATATATAATTATAGTATTAAAAGACATCGATTTTAAATATATATATATATATATATATATATATATATTGGAGGTTTTTTGAATCTTTCCCAAATTTTCCACAATGGCTTTTATAAATTAATTAAATTTTATCTTAGAAAATATTTATAATTCTATTTTAAAAATTATTAATAAGATCTTAAAAAACTAAACTATGTTGTTTATTACTTCTAATATATATATATATATATATATATATATATATACATAATATCATATTTATAATAAATTTAAAAACCAACATAATAAATATCTTTTTGAACTTACAAAGATTTTATATTTGATGTTTATTAATTTATAAGACTTTTTTTATTCTAAAAATAATTCTTAAATGAATTCAAAATACTTAAATTATTTTATGTATGAAAAATAAACTTATAATATTAAAAAAATCAACCAATCAAATTATTATTATCAATATATTTTTATAATTTTTTCTTTTAATTTATTAATATCTTAAATTAAAAAATTAAAAAATAAATTTATATAACTAATGAAACTTAAATAGATTCCTATATTAACTTAAATATTAAAAATAATGATATTAAATATATTATAATAAATAGATATTTATTATTATATTTTTAAAAATTAATTTTTAAAAATTAGTAATATTTTAATTAAAAAATTACTATTATTATTTTTTAATAACCATAAATAAATTATTAATTTATCTAGAAAAGTTTATAACTTAGAATTATTATTTTTCTTGAAATATTTCAAAGAAATCTTATTATCAAATATTTTAATACTATTAATACTTTTAATACTAATAAATAATAATATTTGGCATATTTGGTACCAAAATCTCTAAAAAAATATTTTTTTCTTAATAATACTATTGGAGGTGTATATCGTATTTAATGCTATATAAAATATGTTATTTGAAGGTATTTATAAAGGCTTCTAAAATGATCAAATAATTGG